GTCCTCTGATTCTTTCGCATAGTTGTGTTTCTGTCTTTCAGACATAATTCAATCCACATGGACATGATAGATTGTAAATAACATAATCTGTTTTACAGGAAATTCAATATTGATGGAGTATTTCTTTTGTGTATGAGGATGATCAAATGATTTAGTAGGGATAAGGTGCCCACATGTGCCGCACCCAAGACTTCTAACACATCCTGGATTAAGAAATGTTCTTTGATTCTGCAAATAACTTTGTTCAGGATCAGTGCGAACCAATAGGTCTCGCAAATTTCCTTCTCTTTTTTTTGGGAGAAATATTGCTGGTAGAGTTGGATCTCCAGTTAAAATATTCCAGTTTTTCTTTACAACTTTCAACAAATCAGTACTTGCTGAATTAAACTTCATGGGAAAGGTTAATCTCTGTATCTTTGGTTGGTTATGTATTTCGGATCCCTCTTGCATGACTTGTCGTGCTTCGTTCAAAGTATGAAACGATTATAACCCCTGGTGAGAAACTTGTTATACATTGTTACGACTTGAATTTCAATGTGTTCGTTTAGGGAATTGTTCCGGAATACTTTTAAAAATTGTGTGTAAGGTAAAGATTTTTTGATATGTTCTGGATGTGCACTGTTAAAATGAAGAATGGTGTTCCTGTCGGTGGGTTTCGAATAGAGCTGATATTCTATTTTGTTGTTTTGGATAAAAATTTCGAGATCCAAGCATTGCACGATTTTTTTCGTCAATGTTGGCCGTGATCTTGATTGGACTAGGTAAATTATTAATATCCTGTATAAATTGATTGGCATCTGCCACAGTGCCCTTCCATAATATCAAGATATCGTCGATGAAGCGCACATATTTGATGTATGGTTGTAAAATGTATTTTTCTTCAAACACATGCATGTATGCATTTGCATACATAGGCGCCATCGCTGCGCCCATGGATGTTCCAGAGCATTGCATATACCACCGGTATTTCTTTCGTCTTTACAAAAGAGGTTGAATTAAATAAATATAACCCCCGTTCCATGATAGTTAAATTGGGAAGTGCATTTGTAGAAAATAACTCTTTAGTTATTTTTAATAATTATCTATACTGTATATAATTACTATTTGAATATATAGTTATATTGTAATATATAATATTATATTTAATGCAGTAGGCCAACTCCCTGTCCCCCATTTCTTGATTTATTTGTATGGGCATTCATTTGTTTAGTTGTTGTCCTCTAATAGAAGAGTCCGAGATTACATATCTTGAATATTTTTTGGACTTTGTTTGCATTTAACACTTTCAGCACTGTTTATATTTGCCTCAGCATACTCATTTTCCCACACATTATGCTAGTATAGCCACTATTAGGCTTCTACTCTCATTACATGAGCACTGGCACTTTATTTGCACACACCTTAGGGTGTTATATGATCATACACAGATATACCCATTGGAGCAATCACTTGCACATCCATATGGAAGTCACTCCTTAATCGCTTACATTATATATTAGCGATCTTACTTTATATCATACACATTATTCACTTCTCTGCCTGTCTCTAACAGCTCTTTATTTATATGAATGCTCACGGAGCGTAGCTCCACCCAGTGAATTGTTGATACATCGCCATGGTGATGGGTTTAGACGTCCCGGATGGTGTGACAGCATATGGGGAGGAGTTTCACCGCACACACGCGCATAGGGAAGCAGCACACGCCAACACACAGGTGACTGGAGTTGGGTAAGTGAATTCCCCTTATTTAAAGCCAATGTTTAGAGATATGCTATTTATGTCCTGAGGAAAGTTCACTGTAGTGAACTGAAATGTTGACTGTTTGGATTAAAAGCCTTCATTTTTTTTATACAAGTCCTCGAGTGCTGGCTTTCTTTTGGAAGATATATATATATATTTGGACATATACATTCCCTCTTAGTTAAACTACAATTAGTGTAAATATGAAATGGCAGCTCATAACTTTGTGGTGCAGGGGAGTCTATCATTTCATAATAAGGCTGAAAGATTTGTGTAAACTCATTGAGAATGTGTCAATCCCTCCATCTTTCCCAGGTGTAATGACCATTTCCAACTTAAACTTTAAAAGACCAATAGTGGAAAAGTATATATATCATGAATTTTGGATTATTTTACATGTTTGTAGACATTAAGCAGGATTGGAAATCTAAATATACAATTTTCAGGAAAAAAACAAATGTTTGTGTCCATTGTAGAGTGCTCTTACAACAGATTACTAGAATATACTTTTTTTCATTTAGCACTAGCACTATTTAAAGGGACACTATAGTCAACCAGACCACTTCAGCTCAATTAAGTGGTCTGGGTGCCAGGTCCCTCTAGGGTTAACCCTGTCTGATGCAAACATAGCAGTTTCAGAGAACCTGCTACGTTTACATTTGGGGTTAAGCCAGCCTCTAGTGGCTGTCTCCCGGACAGCCACTAGAGGCACATCTGCAACGCTGGAGGCATATTATACCTCTATCACGCAGAGCGTCCATAGGAAAGCATTGAGAAATGCTTTCCTATGGACACTTTGAATTCGCGCACGGCACTGCCGTGCATACGCATTCCGCTCTGCTGACATCAGACGGGAAGCTGACGTCGGCGGGGGAGGAGAGGTAAGGGAGCCCGGCGGTGGAATAAGGTGAGTAACTGAAGGGGTTTTAACGGGAGGGGGACCCTGAGGGTGGGGGAACCCTCAGGGTACTATAGTGTCAGGAAAACCGATTTGTTTTCCTGACACTATAGTGATCCTTTAATTTGTCTCCCACATTTGAATTAGTGTAGATATTGGGGTACTGTAAAGTAGTGGTGTGCGTTACACAATAAGGCCATATGGTGGAACCGAATCCCTATTTTTGTTTGCTGAGATAGGTGGTTTTAAGTAGCCTTATAAAATGTAAAAATGTATTTTAATGCGCGCGTTGTTCCTTAATCTGTATTATGTATGAATTTTGGTCACTACGGAATCACTATTCCTACAAAATACATGTTTCAGGTGTGCCCCCAATTCCTTTTTGTCTTTCTATAGAATTAATTGACATAATATAACTTAGTATGTAACTCCCATGATCATTACTATGATCCAGAACAAAAAGAACCTTTAAAAAAATCCTGCTATGTTCAAATTGGCAAAACATGATACAGAATCAACTACTGTGCCTTTTCTCGTATGTTAACAGAATTCCAAAATAGTTCACATCTATTGCTCTTCTAGAAAAGGGAAAAAGTTAAAGGGTCAGAAATTAGAAAAGTAGAATTTCATTCTGAATTAATACTGAAATGCTTAAATATAATCTAAAGTGGCAGAGGGACAGAGTTTAATCCAAGAAATGTGATTTAGTTTGGAGATGATACACTGAATACACAAGCATCAACTTATTTACCAAATGCATATTCAGCATCAAACAACCATAGAAATCACTGTATTTTTTTCGCGCCCTCCACTGCTTCTCAGATCTGTTCTCTTCTATTTTTTAACTAATCCAGACATTTTAGTTGTTAAAGTTAATGTAGGTTTGGACTCACCTGAATAATTTTCACTGCCCTCGGGAAGCTGAAATAGCAAGATAGACCGCCTGGTAAATTAATCCATAAAATTCATATTACATCAACGGGTCACTGATCCCCCTTAAGGATTGAATCCAGGGCAATATGTACAACAAGAAGTTGTGTGATTAAAGTCGTTACACAAATCTGACAATTCCCACTGATTTTTCTTTTCTTGTTCAGTGAATTAGAGTCATTCTAATTTGTAAGTTCTAAAGTCACAAGGATTTAAGCAGAAAAATCATAAACTTAACTATAACTATTACAATTTTATTTTATTTTTAAGAACTCTTGTATGCCACAAATTTTGCCCCTAAAGGATGCTTACCTTCTTTATGTTTTTTACTGGTCTAATGACAGCTGCTAAAAGACTGCAGAGAGGAACATCACATTCTAAAATACCTACCTGATGGTCTAATCAACTTTGTAGATATTCTAACAGTTCTAGTTGGCAGCAAAATAGCTAATTACTCAGAACTGATATGGGTCAGTAGCTTCTGTAAAGATCCCTAGGCATCTTACAGTAAACTGGCCATCTATATTAAATGTGACAATCAAAGTAACACACAAAAAAAGAACAAAATGTCATTATTGTGACCTTGTGCTACTATTCCTCATTCGGGGTTCTCTACATAAATCAGCTAATAGAATTCTGCAGGTGAGAAAGTCAGCACAATGCTCTCCAAAGAATTACAATATGCAGATACAACAGATTTTACACATTCTGGTAAGCTTTCCTTTTATAACTTGTTTCTTCCTCGTTTTAAAGCAAATGTAAAAAAAAAAAAGTTTGTGCACAAAATCAACAAACAGCCTTGGCACACCACAACAGTGGTATCAAGGTATAAAGAAGCACAGTATTCAATACAGGTTGTGGCATTCGCTAGTCAGGCACTATTTGTGGTAGTGGAAGCAAGGGGTCATTTTTTATATTGTTAACTGCTTGCTTAATCCATAAAAGGTGCAGGCTTCGTTCAGGAACAATTATGCATAAAATAACATAGTACAAAACTCAACATAAGCCGATATCATGAACAGTAGTGTGAACTAGTGGGTGAGAGGGTTCGTATGATGAAGGTAATAAAACAAACAAAAAAAAAGGTAACTTCGAAGAGTGATGGCTGAATTTGAGGGGTATCTTAGGTTATGTACCTCTTGCTGTCTGTAACCCTGTAGAACATAAGTTTGGTAAGAGGTTGGCACTCACGGTACTCATATTAAGCACGGCTACAAGAGAGGCGGGTGAGTGGGGGGATAAAGGGGTTTAATCCCCATGCCAGCAGGTGTATTAAGGTAAAGGGATGCATCCCAATGAACTTGCATTATGATATTAGCGTAGTGGTGCAATGATTCTGTGTGGTTACATTCGACTAAGAACAAAAACAAAAAATAAGAAAGAGCAAAACAAACTAAGCAGAACGGAATCAATGCATGCGGTCTTTGGCAGTTCAGGGCACCGCAGTAGTTGCAGGGCTACCCCGCAGTGCACTAGGTACAAACGGACGAACCCTCAAGGGGTCCCAGGCAGATAACTGTGTGGCCAGAGCTGGTTTCAGTGATCCCTCCGATGTATCAGACAGCCTGATTTTCAGAAGAGTGCTGGGTATTTCTGTATCCTCCAGCACTTTTAATGTCCTGGATTCATGGGGAATCAGTAGGCTCCTTGGTGCTCCCCATCTATAAGGTACCTTGTGCTTTGTAAGTTCCGAAGTTAAGGGTCTCAGGGACCTCCTCCAGTCCAGGGTTGCCCTGGATAAATCTGGGAAGAATGTCAGCTGATCATCTTCAAAGGTGTAGGGCAACTTATTACGAATGGTAGTCATGAAAGCTTGATTGTCAGGGCCATTGTGGAAGCAGATTATGACATCTCGGTGTACCCCTGTAGTGCTTGCAAGTGGAGCTGTGAGCCTGTAGCAGCTGTCCAGTGTCATCTGTTTGGCGGAGATTAATTGGGTTAGAAGCCTCTGGATCAGGTGAGGTATTTCAGCTGTGGGGACAGTGTCTGGAAGGTTGCTGACCTTTACATTCTTCCACCACCTCTGTTCCTCCATTGCTGCCATGCGGTGTTGTTTCTGTGCCTGTTCGCTCTTTAGTGTGGAGAGTTCCTGCTCCATGTCATGGAGGAGGGCTGAGACTCCACTGATCTCTTCTCTAAATGCAGAGATGTCAGTAGCGATATTGCGGCGTAACTCGTCTAGAAGGGTCTTTATGGTAGCTTCCGTCACTGGTGCCCCAGATTTTCGGTCTGACAGTTTAGCAGCCTGCTTACGTCTAGTCAGTGACTCCAACTCTCTCAAATCAGGTAGGGACATTTCGCTGAATGAGCAGGACGGCCCATCCGAGAGAGGCGCCATGACAGGCCTCGTGGAACTTTGGGGCCTCCATAAGAGATCACCAATATCGGCGGTTGTCGGAGGTTTATCAGCCCAATATTTCTTCATCTTAGGCCACATGGTAGCTGTGGGCAGCAGCTCGCTCTTGGGCAGGATTTGTGGGTTCAAACTGGGTATTTAGCCATTTCAGCTTTCCGTTTAGCCGGAGCTCCAGCAGGACGCGTCTGTTCAGTTAGGCAAATGTCTCCGCCCCTTAAAGCAAATTTTAAATTGAAACATTTTAATAATGAACAGGGTCATATTTAGAACACAGAAGAAATTTCCTTATTGCAGTTGCACATTCTTCATGAAAAGAAGAATTGAACTTCTACAGTGAATGAACTGGCAGCTTGTTATATTTCAATTTTTTTTATTGAATTAAAGTACTTATAACCAGTCATAATGGAGGCTGGTGTGTAAACTTTCAAAAACATTTGGTTGTCTTTATGAACTATACATGGAATCAGATGCATGTACTGAAGTGTCAATTAAAATATAGGCATTTCTACATATGTATGCATGTGAATAGACTGCCTTTTTGTATTGATTAATGAAGACATCATTAATAGAAATACTTTAACAGAAATACACCAGATTGTGAAGGTATGATGAGTTAAGCAGGCTTCACCAGCAAAACAGTAAGTGTTCCAGTTGCCCAAACAATGCATTTAGCATCATGCTACAAAATTTAAATGAGGTTGTTTTGATTGAATAAATAAATTAATGAATATATGAAGGAATTGTGTTCTCTTACAAATTCTTGATAGCATCTGATGACATGACTATATATTTTTTCCTAACTTTTCTAATTTATTGCTGTGCCTTGAGGAGAAAGTCTTCTGTTTCTTGTCCCCATAGCGTCAGGTTGCTTGGCCAGTACTTGCTTGTCTGTCTGGATCTGGAAGTCCCACAGGATCTTAGCCTTGTCTTTCTTAACTACCATTTGTGGTATCTCCCATCTGGACATAGGCAGGTCCAGTCCAAATTCTGTGCAGATGTTTTAGCACACAATCCCAGCAACTTGTCCTTATGTATGCTATTTCTACTAACATATTGCAACTGGCTACTATTTGCTGGACTGTCTCTTAGTACAGTCTACACTTTGGGTCTCGCAGTGAATGGTTTACTCCTGCTTCTGTTGATCTGGAGCTAAGTGCCTGTTCCTGTGCTGCTAGGATTAATGCCACAGTGCTGTCTTTCAGTCCTGCCTTTTCAACCACTGGTAGGATTTTGTCATGTGAGCCACATCCACTATCTGCAGGTGGTACACCCCAGGGAGAGGTTTGTCTTGCCATGGAACCTCCTCTTTTTCTGCATTCTCTATCTGCTTATCTGTTATTGTCTCAGGAATTCACTTAGCAGTTCATCTTTGGAAATCTTTGTGATGTACTTGTGGATGCTCTGTGTTTCATCTGAGTCTTGTCAGAGTATTTATATCGGCAGACATTTTGTGCTACGATAGAAACAAAAAGTGTATATTCTGAGTCACTCTGAACAGACCAGACTCCATTTTGTTATTTCAAGTTAACAAAGAAGACACTAGATTTCTTTCTGTAAGACTGGCCTCTTTGCCAGAGCTAAGGAATGCATAGCATAGTATATACAAGTGATAAGAAGAATATAATCAAATCTAAACCCAGAAGATTGTGACAGAGAAGATTAAATAATTTAATTTTACTGTCTATATATATATAAGGTACCATTGTATGGAAAAGGGTAAACTTAGTTCATGATCTGCCATATCAGAAATTATAGCAGATTTGCCAGACACATAGTCTGGACAAAACTTTAAGAAACCCTTTGATCTTTGAAGGATACGTAAGTTATAGTGGTCATTTGAGATAAGCAAAATGACGTCAAAATAGCCACCAGGAAAAGTTAACTCTTTCCTGGATAGGTATGTTTAGTGGGACAAGACTGCCCTCTACAGACCAAATAACTAATTTGCGATCTGGAAGATAACCACACCTCTAGTGCTTCTATTGGGTTATCAACTGATGACGTACAGAGAGTCTGGCCCTTTAAAAGTTAAGACAAAGGGAAGACAAGGGTGGCAGATGCAAGAGATATGCAAAGAAAAAGAGGAGAGAGGAATTGGAAGTTTGGGGACTCCAACCTCCATGCAGAGAGAGACATCCAAATAAGTTCCTGAGACTACCAATCGGATGAAATATCTACTCAACTGGTAATTATACTGGTTTCATTTAATTAAATTAATTAAAATGTATTAATAGCATGATATATGACTAGGATAAAGCACGGTCAGATTTCCATATTAAGAAATCTTAGTTAACTAAAGAATATATAGTTATAAACATTCCATTCTGCAGGTGGAATTAAGAATAATTATATATTGATGTGATATTATCACGTGTTAGCATACCGCTGTTTTTATCCAGGTGTATTGATTTGCTCTAAATTAAGATAAGATATCTTTTAGACAAATTAAAATTAAAATCTGCTTATATAATGTGGTAGATTCTCTTATTGGATGGTTTCAGAAAATGACTAATGAACTGGGTTAAATGTTATTTTATTTAAAATTACATAAGAATAGATCTTAACTACCTTGGAGATCTAGCCAGCATTGAAAGGGTTATTCTAACTGTCTGCTAAACTTTACGACCTTACGCTGCACTCTGAGGAATTCTGTTCTCTGTGTGAAAAGTTTCACTTTCAATCTGTGTAAGGATACCGCATAAATCGTAGAAGTCTTGACAGATAATGCCGTTTAGCCATTGAAACGTAATACCCATTTCTTTGTATTGCATATCATTTTATACTGAATATTCATTGATTATTGTCATGCATGTTGCATAATATTATTATTAATTAATTTGTCATATAAATAAAAATCTATTTTTATACATTGTGATATTAATTATATGAAATACATTCCACTTAACACGATAAAGGTTCTTTGGGATCTGAGAATTGAATTAGTGGGCAATTCTCAACTGTTACTATTATTATCCCATAAATATCCCCACAGTCTTGACACGTGTTTGGTCCTGACCTCCTTCCTTCTGGCTGGTGTACAGCCTCTGGGTGCTGGATTTCAGATGGAATCCTCAATGAATCCTCATTCATAGTGAGTAGTTTCCAGGTCATGACATCCATGGTGACCAGTTCTTCTCTTGGCCAGGTTATTATTCCAGCTGGGTACCTGATGACTGGTAGGGCATATGTGTTAATGGCCAGGTTATTATTCCAGCTGGGTACCTGATGACTGGTAGGGCATATGTGTTAATGGCTTGGGTCTTGTTCTTGCCATTGAGCTGGAACTTCTGTACCTATCTCACTCTCTGGAGGTACTTGGATGTTGCTATCCTCATTGCTTTTTCCTCATGGTTGCCATGTGTTTGTGGTACCCCCAGATACTTGCAGCGGTTCTCTACATCTACTATTTGGCCTTCTGGTACTTGAACTCCTTCTGACCTGATTATCTTCTCTCTTTTTGCTATGATCCGCCCATACTTCTCTAGTCTGAACGACATTCTGATGTCATTGTTGTATATCCTGGTTAAGTGGATCAGTGAGTCAACATCCCTCTAATTCTTGGCATACAGCTTGATGCCATCCATGTAGAGTAGGTGGCTGATGGTAGCTCCGCTCTTGACCTTGTATCAGTATCCACTCTTCTTGATGATCTGGCTGAGGGGTTTGAGGCCTATGCAGAACAGCATTTGGGATAGCGCATCACCTTGGTATATGCCACATTTGATATTCACTTGAGATAGATAGATAGAATTTGTTAAAATCTATACAGCTATCTATTTATCTGTCTATCGTAATATATATATATATATATAAATTATAATGTTTATTAAGGACTTTGTCTAAACCTTGTTAATTTATTTTAGAAGTTTGTATGAAAATGCCTGCATATAATTATGCTCATTAGAACAACTACATTAAGCTGTAGTTGTTCTGGTGACTTCAATTTGTTTTTGAAGATGTATTCTCTAATTTTATGGATCAAGTCTATAATGTAATTCAAATGAGTGGCATGCTGTAAGTAAGTGTACAGATGTGTAATAGTATAGGAAGGTCAACCTCTGTTCAGCACGTAGCTATGTGCTATGAGTGATGATCCCTTGCTACTTGTGCAGTTTTGCAGACCTAAGATCACAAGGACATTAGAACAGATACTCAACTAATCTTGAATGACATGTTAAGTCATTTTAAATGATAAAACCTGGTCAGCACAACAGATGTAAAAATAGGCAGCTTGGACACCCTAAGATTTTGAATCGATATCATCTTTAATTTGTTCTGACTATACTAACACCTAGATACTTTTTTTTTTTTAACTATTAATTTCAAATATTGAAATATATAAGCTTACATACTATACTATAACTTTTCAATTTAGTTTTGCAAAAAAGAAAGTTAGAAAAAACAAAATATTCTGATTCTGCATGTTGTCATACCTACATTACAGCATTTTAAACCCATTACTGTCAAACTCTTTTTGTTTAAACATAACATTTATTTTATCACATTGTATGTACAGATAGCACATACTTGTAGGATATAACATCTATATATATTGCTTTTCGGGGTACCCTAACCCCATGTGGACTGCGATGTAGTGACTTGTCTGGAGCTCAGCCTCCAAATTATCTTTTTGTGCAGCCCTCTCCCTGTGCAGCTGTGACAGCGAGACCTTATTCTGAGGTCAGGTGCGGCCTCTAGAGCACCCACAATCGGCAGTACAATCAGAGTGCAGAATTCTCTGCCCTCTCTGCTAACTCCAAAGCGCAGCTGCAGCTTCCCCAAACTGTATTGGGCCCCGGATCCTGCACCACTGGAAGTTCTGCCGCTGCTGAGATTACAGCATTAATAATAGTTACAGAATCCAAAACTACTACACAAGAGTATGTTTGTATAAAGTACATTCCCCAGACTATGTAACTAAAAACTTTTGACACGTTTCATTTAACCATTTTATCACAAACCTAAGTCAAATTAGTTCATTTGTTTTTTTCCCCACACATTTTAGTTTTGGGAAATTCACAGACAATGCGTATCCCACTACTGCAAACGCTACATATTTGTGTTCTGATCAGGGCCAGATT